GACTCTGAAGATCTTTGAACTCAAGTTGCAGTGTTTGTTATTATGCAGGGGCCCAGAAAGAGGGGGCAGCGGGCTTTTTTAAAGGTGTTGGAAAAGGTTTGGTTGGTGCAGTAGCTCGACCCACAGGAGGCATTATTGACATGGCCAGCAGTACTTTCCAAGGGATCAAGAGGTACAGTTATTTCTGTCTGTGCTATGTGATTGTGCACTTGCCACATCAGTGTGTAATCAGATAGGTCCTGTTTGAATTTGTTTATGCCCTGAGTTGTGTGTAGGTGTGTGTTTCCAAATGCAATTCTCTTCCTTGTCTCGATATAGGGCAGCAGAGACGTCACAAGATGTTCAGGCTCTACGTCCTCCTCGCTTCATCCACGAGGATGGTGTCATACGACCATATAAGGAGCGGGAAGGCCTCGGCAGTCAGATGCTTCAGGTAAGACAAAAACCCTCTCCATCATCACCTTTTTACAATCATTCCCATTTTATACAAAGATGGAAAACTCTGTTAACAATATTGCATTCATGTAATTAAATTTTTAAAGTTGTTTCATCTTTACTGTGATGTGGTGTCATTATCTTTACATTTCAAACTTATTTGACTGATTTTCTTAGCTGTGTTGGATGCCCTAAATCAGGGGTCGGCAACCTGCGGCTCTTTAGTCCTTATAGTGCGGCTCCGCGTGGTTTGGGAAAATAAATTAGAAGTATTTAGCTGAAGTGTATTTTATTTATGTTAGTTCTTTTTTAACTTGTAGTTCTAAATTGGAAGATTATTGTAATATTGAAATATAAAAATAAAATTATATTCTATTATTTTTTCATCGCTTAAAATAAGTGTCACAGTCGCAGAAGCCGGTGTACCCGCCGAAACACCATTCACTTATCGAGACTTTCAACCGAGGCCAATTATGGATCTTCGGATCCACATTATGTCAGCAGCTCCACCGTGAATTATGTTAAAAACAAACACCGCTCACGCCTCACAGATGACAGCTTACAGTCCTGCGTAAAGATGAAAGTGACTTCGTACCGCCCCGATTTGCAGACGCTGTGTGCAGAGGCTCAGGAGCAGAAGTTCCATTGTAAACATATCACAGCAGACCCAACGATGTTTCCATCAACATGCTTTTCAGCATCACTTTATTGACCACTTTTCACACACAGTTGCTGTACGCATACAGCCGGCTGTAGCTTTTCAGCTCACAGCCCGACACATACCAACAACAGCAAAGATAGCACAGACGTTAAGGCAGCAAGGCGTGATTGTGGGTCCCGCTCAGGTGTGTCCGCCTCCCCTGCAGCAGCACTACAGACCACGCCCTGCCACACACATTAACCAGGTAAAATACATATTTAGGCAGAATTTTGTAAATATCTATTTTTCATCTTTTAGCAGCAGAGTGCTTTTTTCCAATTATTTTTTTAAAAGTCAGGTCAAGGCTCCAGAAGCCCAAAGACAATATAAGGGTGGCGGCTCACAGCAGTTTTTGTTTGCTACAGGGATCATTTTAGTTCAGCTGGGTGTCTTTCCTTTTGTTATATTTCTTTAAGAGTTCAAAATGTGTTAATTACATAAATAAAATGTAATTTTCTCTATAGCACTTCATGGATTTCATAAGCAAAACACCTTAGTTGTTCACACAAAGCATAAAGGTAAAAAAACAATATATACAGTGTTATCTTCATTTTAGATGTTAAAAAGTATTTGCGGCTCCCAGTGTTTTGTTTTGCATGGAAACCGGGTCCAAATGGCTTTTTGGGTCTTAAAGGTTGCTGACCCCTGCCCTAAATGGTTCCCTTTGTTGTTTGGGGAAATTTTACTACTCCTGTAGGAATAGGTTTGGCAGTCTCTGGACAAATGACATATTTGTTTAATTTTTGAAGTAAAAAGAAGTCAATACAATCCAATGGGTAAAAAATGAGCAGCCCCCACCCCCTCATTCCCACTTGATTCACTTTTATGTCTTGAGTGAGTCATTCATCAGTGTTGTGAAAAACTCTTCTTCTGGCAGAGGATGCGATATTGATGCTAAGTGATACTTCATTAATGGTAGAAAGGTTTCAGCTACCGTGTTCCCAGTGTTCAGATGCCATTAAGACATGAGAGGTCAGTGCAAGACTGACAACCAGGAAAGCAATCAGAGACAAATCTGTTCAACACGATGGTTAAGCTGCCAGACTGTAGAATAGCGTACAAACTAAGGCTGATCCATATGTATCATTAATGCATATGAGGATGTCCATGCAAGTTTTCAGAAGGAACCTTTATCAGCAACTTTGTTACAAATGTGAACACTACAGATGGATAGAATTAAAAATGTCTCTTGGTTAAAAGGAAGCGGCATTGGTTAAATCTTGTAATCTGCAAGGAAGAATAAAAGGGTACAGGAAATAAAAAAAGATTATATTTGCTGTATTTCACACCAGAAATCAACAGAATGTCTGCATATAATCCAAATATATCATGTTTTTCATATTTTCACATTTCAGAGCAGCTTACATGTGTTTCAGGTCTGATATTTCACTAACCTTTTGTTGACGTTGTCTAGCTGTGAGTTGGATAGAGTGGGTTGAAGTTTCACATTGTGTTTAATAGTAAAAATCCTAATTTCCCTAAAATTTACAGAAAGGTGATAAATTAAAGCAGCCTACAAGAGAGGCCAGACAACTTCAGCAGACAAATAGACAAATTGGTGCATTTTTATAAAGATTCTGCAAAATCTAAAGCTAAAAAAGGATTTTAAATCTTGTCATATGATTCACATCATTGCCAGTCTGCTCCATGTTGACTGTCTCATCGTTGTGTTTCTTCATCTTCATTCAAGACTTTCTTCAGTTTGTCACCCTTCTGTCTCACCAGCTTAGGTTTGCGTGTCTGTAGTAATGTGTTAGTAACTGAGTTGTTCCTTCAGCTTAAATTAGGACCAGGACATATAGAGTAATAGTACTATAAATCAGAGTAGGTTCTTCAGTTTTATGTTTATGCTTTTGTTAAAAAGCCTTCAACACCATTGTTCCTGATTGTTCCCAAATGTTTCCTTGTGTCTTTGAGAGAAGAGGGAATGCTTATCACAGTCTAAGCTGGGAGGGATTCTGATCTGTTTAAACTGATAGTCTGGCAAATTTAATCTTTTTAGGTCCACCATAATTATCTTATCTGCTCAAACAATAATTAAGCGATTGCATTAGGGCTTTGTGATCTATCTAGTTTACAGCCATTTACATTTTTATAGATCCAAGAGCATTTAATGCTTGTTAGTCTTGTCAGGTCAGATATAATATTTTAAAATTGTTTGTAAATGATTGTGTGAAACTTTTGATGACTCACAAATGCGTGCTTCAGTTCACACACATACAAAGTAATTTGACCTCGAGTAAAATTAGTTTCATTTACAGACACATTTAAAAAAAAAAAAAAAAGTATTACAGACGCTGGAATACTAGGCCTTCTCTATTTCCTGTGTGATTTCTTAGTTTACACTTGTGGAGCATACCATACGCATTTGTAACACTTTTAAGACGTATTACTCTCCATACTTTTAAAGTCTGAAACTGCAGATTTGAACACTGCTGATAGGTCACTCAGACTTTTCCTTGGCTCTCACCTTGAAGTCGCCTTATCAGCAGAAAGATTCGCACCTTCTGCCTGATCTAACCCTCCACACTTTTCTCCTGTCATGTCCGCAGAGGCAAGTGGCGTGCAGTGAATGGCGTAGATCTGGCTCAGAGGATAAGGGGGATGAGTAAAAACAGCTAGCAGTGACAGAAGTGAAAGCTGTAGAGTTGGTGTTTTGTGTGTAGTCTGTGCTGGAGGGTTGTCCCAAAGTTTGGAGATCATGTTTGGTTAGATTAAAGTGAACCAAAGTAGGGACTTTCACTACTGGTGTCACTGGTTTAGAAGTATTTTTTTATATGTATTTTGTTGTTAACTGTGTTTTTTTTTTTTCATCATCCTTTTTTTGTTTGTTTTGTTTTTTTCCCTGCTCCACAACAACAAACTAAAAATGATCTCCAGCCACCATTTTTCAGCCAAGTCCAACTTAGCTGTAAACCTCGTATCACATGACTATTAACCATTCATGATTAAGGTTGATGCATTTGTTTCCTGCTGGAGAAGGTTTGTGTGAAGGTCACACATGCTGACTCGTATGATCTAATCGGAAAACTAAAGTCTGAAAGTCTGTGCCCTCTTGTCCAAACTAAAACACAGTCCTAACACTTGTAAAGGTCTCTCAATTAAATATCCTGAAATGTCATCTGAGAGCTACATGTTAACAGTGCAATGTTTATGCATTTTTTTAAAAAGCCATTGTTGTGGACCAGGCTTTATTTTCTCATTAGTTTACTTATTAGTGTTCATTTTTAAGTCATCATAATCACACTTTTTTCCTTCATTGTTATGTTTTTTTTGTCATTACTTGGAACCTTTCACTGATATTTTGTTCTTAATAAAGTCTTTGCATTTCAAACTTTCACCTGCCATCGTCTTTGTTTCATCCTGTCCTGCATCTGCATCCCACAACATGCTCCAGTCTCGTTACAGGGAAGCTATTGTGCAGATACTGATTCACTGTTTTTGCTGTGGTAGCTCATGCTTCCTTTACTTTTATATACAGTTTTTGACAGACGGTGGCGTATTTTTCAATGTTGTTGTTTGGACAGATATTTTTCTAGTCTCTTTCTTTTTTTTTTAGAAAATTGAGAATGGACGTTTTGCCAGCTACAGGTACTTTGCTCATGCTAAAGTCAATGAATCTGACTTCCTCATGATCACCAAGAGGTGAGTGGTTTTGTTTGGGGGGTTTTCTTTACCCTTTTTTGTTTGTTTTCTTCTGTTCAACAAAGTGTTTTACTTGAGATAATGACCAAGAGCTGAGATATAGTTCAAATGATGCATAATTTTTCTTTTCTAATCCGTTTGGATGCTAAATTTTTTTGTAAAATTTATATAGTATTTGCGTATTTCTACCAAGGCTTTCAGATCAATTGTGAAGAAAATAATTTCCTTTGTTTTGATTCGTTATAATCTTCTGATGTACCTCTTGTACTTGACTCTCTATTAACAGCGTTACATTCAAATTCAATTCTAGCTAATGTAAAGATTTGAGTTCATACTTCTGACATGCAGTACCTTCATTGCAGCCCACACACTAACACAGACTGTATAAAACTTGGATGTAGCAGGCGTGGTGTCAGCTGTTGCTTTGTGGAGCCCCATTTTGAATCCTGGAGATGAGCATTTCCACTGCTGCTGTCTTGGTTTAACCCCCCCCCCCCAAAAAACAAAAAAACAAAAAAAACAAACCCCAAAACAAAACAGCAAAAAGTCCCGCCCAAAATATGGATGTAACGAGATAGTAAGCTGTATACTGACTGGGAAGTCATTTTGAAGATTTATTCAAAAATCCATTTTTTTTTAATTCAGTTAGATCAAAATGAATGATTGACCCACAAACTGAGCTGGAAAAAGTTTACAGTCGAGACAGGAAGCTGTTTTCACAAAGATAGGACCAAAAGTCTTTTTACAACCACAGCTATCGCCATCTGGTGGCATTCAGATTAAGGTTTAAGGCACTCCCATGTTGGCTTCAGCTTATGTCTTTTTACGTTTTTAATGCCTATGACTGGAAATCATTGTTTTTGGGATAAAGAAACTGAAATATAAATATATAAAATTAGTTTAAATTTTTCTTTGTTCTTCCACAAGATATTCATTCCTTTAACACACTCATCTTTTTTTTTTTTTCCAGGGGAATATTTTTTGTGACCAAAGGCACTTTTGGTCAGCTGACCTGTGAGTGGCAGTATCTGTTTGAAGAGTTCACCAAGGATCCAACCATTATAGAGGACCGCCGACTTCGCATTGAGGCCAAGGTAAAAACAAACAAACAAAAAAGCTGTTACCTTTATTTACTACCCAAATTTTTCTTTATTATTATTATTATTATTATTATTATTATTATTATTATTATTATTATCACTTCTGCACTGAACCTCGCCTTCCACTGCAGGAGAGAGTGAAGTCAGTCTTTCATGCCAAAGAGTTTGGGAAGATAATAAACTTCAAAACTCCAGAGATAGCCAAAGTAAGTTTGCAATTTGGACTCAAGCTAATATTTCCTTGCAGTCAGGATACACGACTAGTGAAAATAATTAGTTCTAACTTTGGTCATTATTTATTTTCAGTGGGTTCTCACCAAATTGGAGGATGCAAGAGAGAGTTTACCTAAGTACTGACTCTGAAGATCGAGAAACCCTAAACACACGAGCTCTGTGTGTGCCAGTGCCTTTTTTTCTTTACTGCATGCTACTTTTTTCCCCTCCTTGTGTGACTAGTGAATAAACGATGCTCTATGTGGACTGTCGGTGTGTGTCGGGGCTGAAAGACAGAGTGTGTATGTAGACAGATTGCTGATTTCCATCCACTTTGCTTTGCATTCATTATTTTACACCTGATCATGTTTTTTGTTTTTATTATGGTTTTCTTTATTAAAACGTTAAGTCTGGAGTTTACAAACAGGTTCTGTTATTGCCTGCTTGAAGGATTGTATGAATGGAGGATTGTGATTCCTTAGATGTACTTGTTCTAATCAAACACACATTAAAGCTGCTGCTGGATGAACTTTGAAAGGGGAAAAGAATGAGCGGGCCTCCACCTGCAGCTCGTACCTCTCAGATTCAAGTCTCTCCCACCAGATGAGCGCAGGATTTTGCACATTACGTATAGTTAAAAAAGGATTTTTGTTGACCTTGAGCTTCATGTGGATACCCCCGGTTCTAGCGGGTTAAAACCTTCTTAACCCTCCACCTCTTTCTCACTGCCCAAGAGAGCCAAGAGGAGGTAGAGGACTCCCGCTCCCTCACAAACGCTATTGTTGACCCCCCCCCCCTTTCATAATGACACCAAAAACATTTTTGCCTACCATAGCTTTAGAGATTCAGTTTAACTTTCATCTCTGGATGTAAAGGAGGGTTTGGGTGTAGAAATGTCAATTTTACCAGTGACTGATAGGGGGAAAAAAAATCCCTCGAGTATCACTGAGGCCAAATTAACCATAATTGTTGTAGCACATTTAATGTTGCACACTGTTTCTTTTATTAGATTATATAAAAGGCATGCTAATGTGAATTAGTATGGCTTTATAGTACACATAATTAAAAAAATGTGCATCCTTAAAGTTCTTCTTTTTCCTATTTTTTATACATTGCAGAATAAAGACTGTTGAGTGTGTGAGTCAGAGATGCATGCTATTTTTATACTGTACTTACATGCATTCGTTTGCTGTATATGACCTAATATGATGTCTATCTGTATATATCCATCCTCGCATCAGACTTTATGAGGAGGTTGCAGTATGAAATTTTGTGATTTTTATGTTTTTATACCACACATATGCAATGCCAAACATGCTGATGAATTATACAGAGAAAAGGTATATATTGAAAATACAGGAATGCTAATTATTATTATTATCAGCTGCTGTTTACTCTGATGTATATTTCAACGATTTGATTTTGGTCTTGGGCGCATCACGATATAATATCACTCAATTTCATTTACATCGTTTTGTTTTCGGGGAAACAAAATATTCACTGCAGTGGCTTTTTCTTTTTCATGCTGTTTTCAATAAAGTTTTTTTGAATTCAAAGCAGTCTTTGTTTATTCCTAGCACCAAGAAAACGTCAGGCACCTGACTTGTACTCTTTATTAAATAATTATATCTATTTATTGAAAATAACCATAAATAGAAGAAACAGTTGTATTTTTTTTCCTAAAGCACATCTCAGACTATTTACATCTGACACTCTGCTGACTGTCCTGAGTAAATAAGGCACTTATATGCGTCTCAGTGTTAGAGCAACCATTTCTAAACATTATGAAATCACAAAACTGGGCTAAAGAGCATCCTTGTCAAACTATTACATAGGGATACATTTACATACATTAAAGCACTCAGATCATATGTCTATTTAAATAAGTAGTTCACACAACGGGTCAGTTACTTGCTACTAATTTTCACTTTCTCATTTCCACTGTAAAGTATCATTTACAGCAAATACCAAAAAACTACAAGGGAAACTAAAGCATCTACACACAATTTCATGTTAGACGGTGACTGGTATGTCTGGTACAAGATATTTGTATTCTCTCTTTTTTTGGATCTCCCTTGTTAGAAATGAAACCATTTCAAATTGCTTCTTTTTTGGTTCAAGCTTGATTGATAATTAGATTATTTTCTATTTTGGCTTTACTCAGGTCTTCTCTTGTATGCATTTGCTCCTGTGCTGTATGCAACCTTTCTACACCAGGTTGAAGTCCCCGAGGTTGTGCCTGAGGATGGCTGTTTTCACGTCCTTGAAGATTAAGCGGATGTTTTCTGTGTCTGTGGCGCAGGTGAAGTGAGAATACAACGTCTTGTCCTTCTCCGGGTTTTGTTCTTGGTACATTTTTAGGATGAATTCTTGAGCTGCTACTTGATCCTGCTGAGGTCCTGCAATTCAGGGTTGATATTATTTAAATATGTCAGTAAATTCAACATACGCTCACCAGACACTTTATTGGGTAGACTTGTTCAACTGCTTGTTAATGCAAATATCTAATCTGCCAATTACATGACAGGAACTCAATGCATTTTACGACCTGCTGAAGTTCAAACTGAGCATCAGAATGGGGAAGAAAAGTGATTTAAGTGACTTTAAATGTTGGTACCAAACAGGCTGGTCTGAGTATTTCAAATTTACTGAGATTTTCCCCACACAACCATCTGTAGTGTTTATAGTGAATAGTCTGAAAGTGAAAAGATGATCTGTGAGTAGCAGTCCTCACAGAGGTCAGAGGAAAATGGCCAGACGCGATGATATAGTAACTAATGCTAATTAACTACTCATTTCAACCAAGGTATGCAGAAGAGCATCTTCTGAAGCAGATGGTCTACAGCAGCAGAAGACCACACATGATTTCACCTCTCGTCAGCCAAAAACACCAAACCAAAACTGAAATTCTAAGTCTTGATACTTAAAGATTAAAAATGTGTTTAAAAAAAAACAATCAGTTATTTTATTTTGAATAAATTATGTGTTTTTTAACACAGAACAAATTTGGTGACTTTCTTGTGGGCTTGTATCAAGGAGGGAGGGGCGGAGCTTAGACTAATGATTGCCAATGTGGACCAAAATTCCTGCTGAATGTTTTCAGCTCCCTTTCAAATCTCAGCCATGAAGAATTAAACCAATTCTGATGGTAAAGCAGGTTCAACCTGGTACCAGCAAAGTGTACCTAATATAGTGTCAGTTGAGTATTTTTAGTCTATTTCAACACTTCCATAAAAATGAGTACCGTGATTGTATGATGAAGGACTTAATATAAGTTTCATTCATTCCATTTAGATCAGCTAAGTAATTACAAATCTTGTGGTGGAATAAGAGCTGAAATCAAGATGAGCATTCACTCAGTCTAACCTGTGAATTCAGGGAA